ACACGTCGTTTTTTAAATTTAGAAAAAGAGAACGTTTTAACACTAGAAATTTAAGTTTTCCACCGTTTTCACGCTTGAAAAGTGACTATTTTGTACAGAAAACGTCGTTTCTTGCGTTTTTTTAATGAGCGTGAATGGATCACAGTCGCGGTTCCAGATTGTGCGTTTAAACGCGTTTTTCGAAAGTTTTGTCTGCCTGGGTAGTTCCTAGATGTGAATTTCGTCTAGATTCAGATCACAGGATTGTTGATATTGCTTTGTTCGACTTAGATTTTGGATTTTGGATTCCCGATTGGTGATATGTTTGGGATTTGGACTTGGGTTTGGGTCTTAGATTTGGATTTGGACTTGGGATTTGTTTTCAATCTAACATAAGTCCAACTTTGTAGTCGTACTACACTGAAACCAAATCTCAATCCCAAATCTCAATCCCAAATCTCAAACCCAGATCTGAACCAAATCCGAACCCGAATGATACGGACCAAATTCCAAATCCAAATCTATACCAAATCTAAACAATTTCATATGAATTTATAAGACTTGAGATTCTTTTCTCCCTTCCCGGACTTTATCTTACAAAGTCTCTTCAGATTTGGGCAATTCAAGATCAAACCCAAACCTAAATCCAAATCTTAGTCGGAAACAAATCCAAATCTATTTGCACCAAATCTCAAGGCCTTGGATTTGTTGCACCCCTACACAAATCCACGTGTACAAGCATGTGATTGCTTTCCTAAATATAACCGTCTTCATTTCAATTATGTAGACCATTACTATTATTTTTTGTGGGATTATTTCTTTTAAAAAGATAACGTCCTTTGGCAACATATGATAATTTTCACGGTAATATAATTTAATTCTGAATAGAAACAATGATTTTTTATTCCTGCTAGGGCTATTTAACATTTCCCTATAGGAGAAATTAAAATTTTAATTTGCCGTACGAGAAACTAAAATCTTAAACTTCTCTTGTGAGATGTAGAGAAAAAATTCAAGATTTCAATTTCCCCTGTAACATATATTAATAGTATTTGATTACAAATTTTTTGAAAAATGTTCGAATTCAATTGATATTCATTTCTATAATGATTTTTCAGGATAATTCAGATTAAATAAAGAACTGCAAGATTGAACATATCCCAAGATGGAAGCGTGGACTTTTGTACTTGAAGTAACTTTGGCAACTTTAAAGTACTTTAAGGTACTTTAAACTACTTTGAACTACTTTTGTACTTTGATGTACTTTTCGACTTGAAGTACGCCGTTTCCCCTTTGCCTAAACACCCTCCATTATCTTCCGAATCGAATTTCTTGTAGGGCTTTTTGGTGAACAAAAACTTGATTTTTCAACACTTAAGCTTAAGGGAAGAGCAGAATGACGAATCGAACGTTAAAGTGAGTGGGAGCGTGAGTGGATACAGATTAATCTCTCTTTGCAAAATACAAGAACGAGTGGTGACTCCTACTTAACACCATATTTTCATATTCCCATTTGGCAGTCATCGAAGATAGAAGTCAATCTCGGTTTTTCAGTTTCTTGGAGGTTTCATTTTTTCGTTGTTGGAAGAACGCACAGCTTTTTCTAATTCATCTTTTCTTTCTTCCTTTCATTTATCGAAAAACCATAGAGAACCTCTGCCCACTGACAACACATTTTCGTATTCACATAAAAGAACATCGAAGAAAAACTGTGCTTTACTCTCTCATCCCTCTCTGAAAATTAAATTTTGTTTCCTTCTTCAAGGACGTTTAGCTACCTATTTCTATTTTCAGTTTCTAATGATCACTTCACTTCTTTTTGGCTCAAAGAAAAACAAAAAATGACTGTTGCACCAATCCTCTCGATTCTTAGTGCCTTATGTCTACTTGTTAGCTTTGTTTCAAGTGCATCAGCAGAAGTTTGCCAACCTTTTGACGAAACATCAGGCTATTGGGATTGCCTCAAGCGACCACCAAAGTGGAATCGAACTGGAATTACAGTTGCTGGAAATGGTACAAGAGGATCATCAAATATTCAACTTGCCTCTCCTCAAGGAATTTCTATCGACGATCAGGACAACCTCTACGTAGCGGATTATGGTAATGATCGAGTGCAGAAGTTTGTACCACATTCAAATGGTGTTGGTATCACAGTGGCCGGAGGAGTTTATGCTGGAAAAAGTGTCGGTAACGCTCCCAATCAACTCTCTTCTCCAACTGATGTTTTCGTTGATTCCATTTCAAACATCTTCATTGCGGACTACGAAAATCACAGAGCACAATTGTGGACTGTCAATGCTACAACAGGTGTAACTTTGGCCGGAACTGGTGTTTTGTACAGTGACTATTATGGAGTTTCTGGAAATAAACAAGGTGACGTGTATTTCTCATTGAGCTGGGGTATCGTGAAATATTCATTAAATTCATCATCAGGAACTTTAGTTGGTCGTATCTCAGGACGTCCTGTAGGTCTGTTCGTCGACGCATGTGATAATGTTTATGTAGCAGGCGGCAAAAACGGCCAAATCTCAAAATTTACAAGTGGCAATTCAACCGAAGAGATACTAGAATCTAAACTTTCTTACCCAAACGATGTTACCCTCGATCCATATGGAAATCTGTACATTGTTGAAAAGGATTCGCATAGCGTTCACCGACTCACCGTAAGCGGTAAAACGGAAGTTATAGCTGGTTGGGAAGGCAAAAGTGGAAATGATTCTAAACACTTGAGTTCACCAGGAAGTGTCGCAATGGATTCAGAAGGAAATATATATGTGTCCGACACTGACAATCATCGTGTTCAAAAGTTTATGCTCCAAGATGGTTCTCTTGCCTGTATTTAAAAAAGATCTTTTGAATAAACACATATAGTTAGATCAAAATGACATATGACCAGAGGGAGGCTACCCAACAAAAGCGAGTACTACGGAAAGTAGGAAGAGCAGGAGATAAAGTTGTTTTTCTGACTGGCAGAGTTACTTCTCTCGAGACGTTAGTTTTATGAGGGTGTGGGTGTGGGTGGGTGTGGGTGGGTGTGGGTGTGGGTGGG